TGTTAATTTTTAATATCTATCTTTTCTTTTGTTTTCCTTATTCAGAGCTGTTACAGATTCATTCTACCATTTTGTTCTCATTTTTGTAAAGAATTTTGTAAGTTGACAGATTCAATTATTTATTTTCTCTTTATTTCTGCTTTTATCTTTATATTTTCATTTTTCCTGTTTTCTCTTTCTATTGTAAAATTTCTAACTTTTAGCTGAATGTTTATTTTCATTTTTTCCAATTTAATAATAAAAAGTTTAAAAGAGAAAAAGTTGCTTCTCATTTTTAAAAAAACTTTGTCCATACTTGTTGAATTTTACACGAACTGTTCTCAGTCCTGTTATTATCTAAACAGTCTGTGATAGCAGTGTCTAATTTATTCGTTTTTGGTTCATTAGTTGCCTCTATGATTTTTTTTCCTTTTTGAGTCAGGGTTTTATTTATTTAATTTCTGTTATTACTTTCTAGGTTTGTTTGTTTTCCACTCTGGTAAGGTAATATGCCCTATAAATTTTTGTATTTTTGGAATTTGTTGACTGTGAGTGTGTGTATGTGAGTGAGAGAAAGAGACAGACAGACAGACACACTCCTCATGAACAGATGAACAATGGTGTTCTGTAATAGTTTTCAATTAAAAATTTACCTATTGGGTACAATGTGCACTATTCTCATGACAGGTACACTGAAAGCTCTGACTTCAGTATCATAAAATTCATCTATGTAACAAGAACACTTGCACCCCCTAACATTTTGAAATGAAAATTATTTTACAAATCTTAAAAAAACAGTGAAACACTTTCATTGATGATATGCAAAGCCAATACATAAAATCAAATAAGTGCTGGCTGAAGAGGTGTTGAGGTAGGTGGAGGCTAGAGTCCCACCAAACCTCTCCCACCTTCCCTGAAGAGCCCCATGGTATCCTTGGAGTTACCTGGATAAGATTTTAAAACTGCTGCTCGTTTATAAAATGTTATATATGCATCTAGTAGATAAACTTAGGTATTTATTAAAATATTTTTTTCCCTAAATCAATCTATTAAGGATTGAGAATGGTGTGCTCTAGTTTCCACAATAAATGCATTTCTATGACCTCTCCATGCACTACCAGAAGCTTTTGCTTATTATGTTTCAATCCTCTGGAATTTGATGATTAACAATTTTGTATCTACTATATCTTCATTATAGGCAGTATCTTTTAGTAACAGAATTAGTGTCTTTATTCCATTTAAAGCTTTTCTCCTTCAATTCTCTTTCCTCTGAAAGTAATATTGTTACCACTAGCATTTGGATTTGTGTCATATACCTCTGATTGTTTTTACTTTTAGCTTTTAAAAAATCTAGTAAAATTACATTTCTATTCCTATATAGTATATGTATCTATGGGCATAGTGTATGTATATATGTAAATATTATGCATATATAAATGTATATGCAAGTTTAAATGCATATACATATTTATATAAACTATATATATATCTGTATATATATATGTATAAACTATATATATATCTTTCTAGTATATAATTCTTCATTTCTTAATCTCATATACATTGAAATTTTTAACTTTTTTCTGAGTCTCTGTTTTTAACTTAATCTTTTAAACTTTTTTGGTATTTATAAATGTTTGTCTTACTAGGATTAGCCTTTTTTCTTTTATGTTAAATCTTATCTAAGATATTTTTGGACTCCTAGTTTTATAGGCATTTTATTTTTCCTTTCCTTTATAATTAAAAAAAATCATGATAGGTAGAAATGGGGATAGTAGAAAGACAATTCAAAAATAAAAGAAGATGGACAACTTGTATAGCCATCCACTTTACTACTTTTTCAATGAGTCTTGCAGTCTACTTACCTCCAAAAACTATCCCCAGAACTCAAAATCTGCAGGGATCATAACCATGTTATACTTGAGGCACAACTGAATGACACACCTGACTTCTCTTACCATTCAGCCTTTATAAGAAACTCTGTGTTAAGATCCATGGCTAGTTCAAGTTAAGCAAATTCAGATGGCTAGCAGGGATCTTATCCAATTTAAAGTTAATAAAAAAATTTTTTAAGCTGCCTTAAATTTTATGTATACCATTCTGCTTTCTCTCTAGATTCCAGTATTAATAAGCCTTTTAGTTAAAAGCCCAAGATAAACAGTCACTAGGGATTGTCTGCATCCCAATCTGTTTAAAAGCTGCTCTCTCTGGTAAGTTCGAATCCTTGCTCTCTTGTTTACTTTTACCAATTTGAGGATTAGTCTGAAGGTAGAGTTCCCCCAACTTTTTAAGCATCCATTGTTTACATCCTCTTGCAAACTTAGCAGCTTATTAGACCGAATAGTTTACTTGATTAATGATAAACATGAGCTTCTCAGGTTCCTCCACAAGTAGAGCTGTGGTCTTAGGCAGAGCTCTTCTGTGAATGACCACAATTCCTCCCTGTTAAGAAAACCCGAAGCTATTTGCAGCTTTTAGTGACCATGTCTTGGCCTTTGGTTGACACACACCACAATTTATTAATTAGAATTCAAAAACTTGGAATGAAAAGAACATCACTGACACTAAAACACAAGTGACTCATTTTGGGATGGAGGTAGATGGGGATGAGGGGTCCCTTAAGGCAAGTTGTATTTTTATGTATTATTATGCTTATCATTTCCTTGTTTCTCTTTTCCAGTCCCTCGAATACACTAAAATAACTCTAAACACTATTAATCTCTATTTGATAATTCAGAAGTATCTTCAGAGATCATGATCATGGATCTCTACTATAGGTATACCCAAGTGTTACAAACTGGTGCTGGAGAAAAATAAATAGGGTAGGAATTAGTTAACTGTCATGATGACAGATTAGCAAGACAAAATAGATGTAAAAATTCAGACATTTTTCATATTTCAAAATTACATAATACTTATTAGTAATGAAGTAAATTATGAGTGAAACATAAAGCCAAGCACACATACATCAGCTAAAAAACGGAAGAAGTGCTTTTTGTATGCTTGCTCAATGTTTTGACCTAGGATCCCAAGTGAATTTTTATGTCTATAAAGAAAGAAAGAAAACTAAAATTAAGCTTTGTTGGTAGGTCTATACCACTTTCATGCATTCTAGGGGAGAAGGTAGTAAACAAAGTTTCTGCAACCATAAGTGATGCTTAAAAGAAAATTAAATCACAGAATGATGCCAGAACTGATTATTCCACTGCACTTTAAAAGCAAGAGATTGCAGTCTGTGAGTCCAGAGTGGTTTCATATGGAATGCCACAGTTGTGGTTTACTCTTGAAACTATAACCTGTCAAATTAGAAGCAGGCAAGGCCTATTCTCTTAACGGTTCCACTTTCTACTGTCCACAGTTATGTCTGCAAGTTCAGCATTTTTTATTCAGTTAAACTCTGTCTTCTGGATAATAGAATATCAAAACTATTCTTTGTTATCTTGGTTAGATAAAGTTTTAGTTATGACATAAGATTTAAAGAAGCTGCCAATCTCAGATTTATTATATAGATGAAGCTTTCATTGTCAACTATTTTTATCAACTATTGATATTTTATTATCCTGGTTACCACTATGTAGTATAACTACAGGGAAGCGGTATAGACTGCATAAGTGCACAAGCATTTTCTACCGTGCATTTCCAGATATTTTATTGACTTTAGTACCTTACTGACTCATCGTTTTTCCAGGCCTACAGTAGCCTGCTATTATGAGCTTAGTGTTAAAAATGCTCCATTTCTTCTCTTCTCCTTGATTGTGGAATGCCCTTCCAGGCAGCAGGTTTGGTTAGCTGAGATTTTCCCATAAAAATTAAAAGGTTACTTGTTCAATTGTACTAATGTTTTACGTAGAGTCCTTCCTTAATGAACCTTTCTTAATGCTCATTTTTATAATATAAAAATATTTAAAAAATAAAGCATAAATAGTATTTGCTTTCTGTATAAGGCAACATAAGTGAAACCATGCCACTAAACAATCATATCCTGTTTAGGCCATAATGACATCAGAAATATATGTTTATCATCTGCTTTGGACAACTTAGCATGTTTTTGGCCCAAGGCAAAATTGAACTAAAACCATTTGCAGTTGCCCCAAACCAAGATAACCACACATTTCTAAGGTAATTGATACCTAAAAGAACATTGCATTTAGATCACAGTTCATGATCTAAGCATACTAAATCTTTAAAGAAGGTTGTTAAAGTTAATAAAGCATGTATGTCTATTGGACTTCCTCCAAAATTTAACATGAAATAATTATATTTTTAGCATGCATAGAGACTATGATAGAGTAGGCACTTAGTACAATCTTTTGGAATTCTGGAATTACCTCTCTTCCCCAATTTAAAGAGTAAAACGAACTATAAGAATACTGCCTTGGAAGGCACTCAAATGAAATAAATCATTACTCTTATTTTTTCCTGAAGCATTCAAAGAAACAATATTTTTATGTATAGATAGCTAAGGTAAATAGAAGACATACAATTTTCATATTCATTGTTAAAACATATCCAGGAAATCCAAATACATATCACTAACTTTGTATTACTGTGATACAAAGAGTGTAATTGCCCTGGATACTACCTTAGCTAATAAGTCCAACCATACAGCCTGCAACTATAGCCTGAAAAAATATAACTCTTCATGCTATATGCCAACACAAAAGCAATAACAATTACCTTTGTCTACAAAGATAACTAGATGATTTGGAACAAAAAATAAGTAAATAATTATAAATTAGCTTTTATAGAATAAAATAAAACCAGTATATGTCATATCCAGAGTAGGGAAACTCAGCCATTTTCAAAGGAGGAAATAGAGAAACAGAAAACCGAAGAGGTTTCCAAAAGTCAACCTAAAGACAGCTGACTCCCGTCTCCAGGGCTTACTCCTCTGCCGTCAGACATAAAATCACTGATTTAGGAATTTCAGACAACATTTCAAGAATACAAAAATAAAACCAAATAGCATAGGCATTGCAATGGTTGTTCTATTTCTGTAAAAATGGAAGAATGTACAATACCTCCATTCTTTCTTGTTTAACTTCATCAATTTCGTCATCTTCAAACATTGCCAAAAGTTCTCCTGTCTGGTCAACAGAGTTGAGAAAGTCTTGAGCAAACTTTTGTCTTTTGTTCGCATTACTGCTGCCAGTCAATTTGTCTTCATGAGGATAAGGGAAGGAAAAAAGAAGTGTTGTCAATAGGTTTACATCAGCTCTAATCAGTACACATATTAAATACTGCATGTGAAATTCAGAATTGGAATTCTCTCAAAATAATCTTTAAAAGAATTCTTGCACCCGGAATAAAAGTATTAAGTCATGCAGAATTAAATCATTTATTCATATCACAAATTAGACTGAGAGAATAAAACCAAATTATCAATTACCAAAGTAAGTGTGAAAAGGCTGATTGAAATCCTTTATAAAAAGGAGGTATGCACCAGGCATAGTGGCACATGCCTGCGCTCCTAGTACTTCAGGAGGCTGAGGTGGGGGGATCACTTGAGGCCAGGAGCCTGAGACCAACCGATCTGAGCAAAATAGCAAGACCCTGTCTCTACAAAAAATAGAAAAATTCGCCAGGCATGGTGGTGCGTGCCTGTAGTCCTAGCTACTTAGGAGGCTGAGGTGGGAGGATCACTTAAGCCTGGGAGTTTAAGGTTGCTGTTAGCTATGATGATGCCACTGCACTCTAGTCCAGGCAACCAGGCAACAAGGTGAGATCCTATTTCAAAAAAAAAAAAGAAGGGAAGGGAAGGGAAGGGAAAGGTAGGGAGGGGAGGGGAGGGGAGGGAAGAGAAAAAAGGGTATACTTTCATATCTGGAAAAAGAATACTGTTATATAGTATTTATAATAGATCTGAAATGAAATGACAATAGAAAAAAACGATGAGTAAGGATATAGTAGGCAAATACAAGCAAAGAAAGCAGAACTGGTAACATTAACGTTAGAAAATATAGTTCAAGACCAAAAGCACTAAGTAAGGGTAACATATTATCTAATAAAAGGAAGATTAATAGGCAAAAACTGTTATGCATCAATGATAAAACAAAAATGAATAACACAAAGGAAAACTTAGAAAGCACAATCATTGTAAAATATCTGAATGTATTTATTTCAAAATTTGACAAGTTAAGGCTATAGAAAAGAGTTTTAAAAGCGTATCTATAAGCACTTTAATACCTACACAGATAGTAAGAATCTATACTGCTCTCTTAGGTCCACAGATCATTTTTCTTCATTTCTGTCATTTTCTTTTAAAATTTTATTTTAAGAAGTTTTTATAAATATCTATAAATATAATTAAAATGCATTAAAGTGATATCTTATATACTGGTTTCTGCTTGATTGCTTGATATTCTGTTAATATTCTACAAATAATATACAGGTAAAGGGAGATGGGGTGAAGTAAAAATGTTTCAAAGGTCTGCTGGTGGGGAATGGAGAGAAGGAAAATGAAAATGATCGCCCATCTTCTTCCCTTTTATGTTGTCAGCCAACCTCCAACTCAAGATGTAACTCGTATTAATCACCCAATATGCATCATCCATATATTTCTCCATGCTTATATATCCAATCATAAATAATCTAGAAATTAATAAAAAGAGAAACATTTCTTATTAAATATCATAGCTATATCTAAGTTCTCAGAAGTAAATTTTTAGCTTAAATGCCTTTGTATTTAAAAAGGAAAGACTAAAAATAGGTTAGCTAAGAGTCCAACTTAAGAAACTATAAAAAATAAAAGACCAAAAAACAAAAGGTAGAAAGAGGGAATTAATAACAATAAGTTCTGAAATTAATAAACCAGAAAAAATTAAAAGGATAAATGAAAGCAAATACTGCTTCTTTGAAAAGAACAATAAAACAGACTATGGCAAGGCTGATTAAGAAAATAAATAAAAACAAACAGAAATAAGTAAGTCACATAAAGATTGAGACATGGAATGAAAAGTAAAGAGAATATCACATAAAATGCTATGGCAATACATTTGAAACCTAAAATGATCTTACCCTTTTTCTTTTCAGAAATAAAATTATCATTACAATTATTTAAAAGCAAAACATAACTTTGAGAAAGTAACTGCAAAAAGTCAGGAAGGAATGTAAATATTGCAATAGGTAATCAATATAGCAAAATACATAAAAATATCAGTGTGAATTAGGGAGTAAGGAAGAACTACATTATTTTTTATGTGACTAATTACATGCTCTTATATCAAATAAAGAGGATCCAAACATTGTCAAATGGAACTACTGATTAACAGCTATATAATACGCTTAATAAGTGTATCTACTATAATTATATTAGAATAAATATTTAGAATGAAAAATGTGTTTTCTATTAGAAAAAATGGTTTAAAAACTATAATTATGTGTCTGTTAATTTATATCATGTCTTTTTGGCCTCTAATAATATGAAAATAAACTTTAAGTCACTCATTGTCTAAGTGATATATTGTTAATGATATATAACTTTAATGATACATTGTTAATGAGGTATTACAATATACTTTTTGGGCAGAGTATAGACATAGATTTTCTTATAACAGCTAAGGTTTTAAAAACTCAAGATACTGAGAAAGTCAGCAGTTAATGTAATCAATGGTGAAGGTCTGACCAAAGGGGTAGGGTTTTAAATGATTTCCCATTTCAATCCTCCCCTCTCCCAGCTCTAGGCAACCACTACGTCACATTCTGTCTCTGTAGATCTGCCTATTCTAGACATTTAATATAAACAGAATAAAATATGTGGTCTTTGTGACTGGTTTATTTCACTTAATGTTTTCCAGGTTCATCCATGTTTTAGAAAATATCAATATTTAATTCTTTTTATTGCCAAATAATATTCCTTTATATGAATATTCCATACTTATCTGTTCATCAATTGACAGACATTTGGGCTGTTTCTACTTTTCTGTATTATGACTAATGCTGCTATTAATATTCACATACAAATTCTTGTGTGGATATATATTTTCATTTCTTTTCATTCTACTTCATTAGGAATGGAATTGCTATTTCACTTGTTAAATCTATGTTTAATCGTTTGAGGACCATACAAAATGCTTTCTGAAATCCTGCACCATTTTATACTCCCACTAACCAATGTAAGAGGGTTCCAACTCTCCACATGCTCAACAGCATTTGTTATTATCTTTTTTATCACAACCATCCTAGTGAGTGTGAAGTACTATATCACTGTGGATTTGATTTGCCTTTCTCTGATGGCCAATGACATTGAGCACTGTTTCCAGTGTCTATTGGCCATTTGTAAATCTTATTTGGAGAAATGTTTATTCATATCCTTTGCCCAATTTTAAATTGGGCTATTTGTCTTTTTAGTGTTGCGTTGTAAGAATTCTTTATATATTCTACACTTAAGTATCTTATTAGATATATGATACGCAAAATTTTCTAACATTCTGTGAGTTGTCTTTTCAATTTCCTGATGGTTATTTTTGAAGCACAAAAGTTTTAAAATTGATCAAGTCCAGCTTACCTATTTTTTTCTTTAGCTGTTTATGTCTTTGTTGTCATGTTCAGAATGCTTTGTCTCACTCAAGGTCATAAACATTTGCTCTCATATTTCTTTCTAAGAATTTTATGGTTTGAGCTCTCACATTTAGGTCTATGATCCATATGGAGTTAACTTTTGTGTATTGTGTTATGAAGGGGCCCAAATTCTTTCTTTTGTATGTGGCCATCCAATTGTCCCAGCACCAACTGTCGAAGTGGTATTCTGTCCCCCTTGAATTGTTTTGAAACCCTTGTCAAAATCATTTGACTCTAAATATGAAGGCTTAATTTTTAAACTCTTAACTCCATTCCATTCCATTGACCAATATGTCTATCCTTATGCCAATACTACTCTGTCTTAATTACTGGCTTTATAGTACATTTATTGTTTTTTGTTTTTTTTTTTAACTTTTAGAGACAGGGTCTTGCTTTGTCTATAGTAAGTTCTGAAATCAATAAGCATGAATCCTCCAACTTTGTTCTTTGTCAAAATTGTTTTGGCTAATTTGAATCCTTTACGACCTAGAATATGGGTAATTTTCCATGCCAGAATGTGGCATTTCCATATGAATGGCAGAATCAGCCTGCTCATTTCTACAAAAAAGCAGGTGGAGTCTGTAGATCAAGTTGGGGAGTACTATCATTTTAAAAATATTAACTGTTCCAATCTATGAACACAGGATGTCTTTCCATTTCCATCTAGAACTTCTTTCCTTTAAAAATACTTCGTAGTTTTCAGTGTACAAGTCTTGCAGGTCTTCGTTTAGTTTTATTTCGAAATATTTTATTCTTTTTGATGTTATTGTAAATGGAATTGTTTTCTTAATTTCATTTTTGGATTGTTCATAGCTAGTGGATAGAAATACTTTTGATTTTTGTATATCTATCTTGTATCCTGCAAACAAGCTGAACTCATCTATTAGTTGTGATAGTTTTTAGTAGATCTCAGAATTTTTTACATACAAGCTCTGGCCGGGAGCGGTGGCTCCCGTCTGTAATCCTAGCACTCTGGGAGGCTGAGGCAGGAGGATTGTTGAGGTCAGGAGTTTTGAGACCAGCCTGAGCCCTGAACAAGAGTGAGACCCTGTCTCTACTAAAAGAAAAAAAAAAGAAAGAAAAAAAAATTAGCCAAATGTGGTGCTGCCTGGTTGCTGTGAGCTAGGCTGATGCCATGGCACTCTAGCTTGGGCAACAGAGAAAGACTCTGTCTCCAAAAAAAAAAACATAAAGAATTTTTTATATACAGATCATATTATCTGCAGAGATCGTTTTACTTCTCTTTTCTAATCTGGATGCCCTTTGTTTCTTTCTCTGTCTAAGAACCCTGGCTAAAACCACCAGTACAATGCTGCATATAAGTTGCACAAGTGGACATCCTTGTCTTGTTCCTAATCTTGGAGGGGTGGGGATTGGAAAGCAATCAGTCTTTCACCATTAGGTATAACGTTAGCTCTGAGTTTTTCATAGATATCTGTCTTAGTTCAGTCTGTTATAATAAACACACTACAGATTGAGTGTTTAAACAACAAACATTTATTTTTCACAGTTCTGGAGGCTAGAAAGTCTAAGATCAAGGTGCCAGCAGCCCCACTGTCTGGTGAAAGCCTGCTGCCTGGTTTGCAGATAACTGTGATCTTG